CTTGCCACCGTGACGTCAGAAATATGAAGCTTCTATTTTTCCAGTGATATTTTTTTTAGGGTTTGCTAAATAAAAGTTTTGTGAACTCTTATATGATCACTTTATTGATTGATTTTAAATCTCATTTGTCAGAATACATGATGCTAAAATTTTTATCTATTGTGTCATTGAATAACTATTATTATTTATACAGGGTGACTGGTGAATTACTATCAATATTTAAGGAGATTACTTGGTACATGATTCTCATTCGAATTATGTAAAAAAAATAGGTATTTAATTTTTGACCAAATTTCCGTATAAATAAATAAAGTGTGGACACGTTCCAAGTGTGTGTGTGTGTGTGTGTGTGTGTGTGTGTGTGTGTGTGTGTGTGTGTGTATACCTAATCTGTAGGGTGTACTTTTGGTTAACTTTACTTAGAAGTTTATTGATATTTATGTTATATTAATTTTTATTTTGTCATATATGATCGTCAAATATCACGTCCTCAAGTATCGATGGTAATTCACCAGTCACCCTGTATACATGTATGTCGTCAAAATTATTTATATTAATGTTATTACTTATTTTTCATTTATTTTGCACATTATATAAAAAATATAGCCAAATGGACCAGTTTGAAATTTAAATACAATACATCAAAAATATATATACTATGGACTATTCTATATTATTCTGCACATGATAAATACAGTAGACATACATATATTTGAGATAATTAAAAATTTTACTTTAATCTTTAAAAATAACCATAAAAGGGCTATTAGTTATATTTAAGTAAAGCGTTCTATGACCATGGCGAACAGTGAAATACCGAGGATTTTTGTCAGAAAAGAAATTTTGTTAGAAGATAATGAGAGCTTATGATCTAAAATAAGAACCATTATTGCGGTTACTAGAGCAGTAATGATGGTATCGTTATAATAAATAGAAAGAGGATTTTTTAAGGACATTATACAATGATTATTGTGTGCATATTCCCGCGGAGACATATAGGTATTTGAATGGACCACACAATCAACTACGTGGTAAAACTTGACGATCCAAAAATAATTGGAAATCAACAGATTGATGGCGATCTAATTTATCTGAAAGCCTAGGAGGTATTCAAATAGGAAATTTCATCATAGTTAAGACCATACAAAAACACTAATAGCAAACTTTGGTCTGTAAAAGTAAAAAATCCTGTATATGTTTAAAGGCGAATTAATTTTTGGACTAGTTTCGTTGATTTAGTAATGCCAAAAAAATTGTTTAACAAGAATTACCTAAAGGTTTATAAAATGGTCCCAAAATGATCATTACATGGTTAATGTGATGTTTTCAAACTTAATTTTAGTTATAAAGTATATACTCTAATAATCGAATGGGATTTTTAGCAATCATAAACAGATAAAACAGTTAAATCATAGCTTGATTTCACGGAGATACACATAAATAGTATGCCTTTCAGTAATGTATAGCTTTCAGTGGCCAGGTCTGTAAATATATCTAAGTCGCACTCTAATGATTTAATTGTGATTTCGACTGCGTATGTACGACTAAGGGGAATGCGAAAAAAACTTCTATAGATTTAAATTAATTGCCAGAGTAAGAAAAGCAGGTACTTTGTTAATTTGCTGAAAATTATATGTAACATTTGTATATTGGATGTTGTCTAAACATAATGATTAGATGATTGTTAATATATATTTATACTAGCTTTCCGCCCGCAGCTTCGCCCGCGTGGAGTTCAGTTACATCGCGTTTCCAAGAGAACCTTTTAAAAGTCTGGGATAAAAACTATCCTATGTTTTTTCTCAAGGTCAACTTTATGTCTGTACCAAATTTCATTAAAATCAGTTCAGTGGTTTAGGCTTGAAAGCGTAACAGACAGACAGACAGAGTTACCTTGTATTATTAGTAGGGATGGGAACTAATCGTGACGCCGAAGTCCTCTATTATTTATCATAGCGTCATCGCCTTCAGTAACTTTTATACTCTCTGAATAGATTTAGCGCATATTTTTTGAAAATAATAAAATACCAATCAATGTATTGTATCAGAGTAGTGACACAAGTTTACGATCCATTAAAACTTACTATAAGTTGATAAAGATATCTTTATTGAGGGTACTTCAGTTTTTATGGTTTTCTGAATTTCGTGAACAACTGATCCGACCGTCTTATATAGTTGGTACTTAAAAAGGAATTCATACTTTGTCATAAAATGTATTTATGTTCATTTATTTTTCTGTTATATTGACCTTCGATGTTTTAAGCCTGAAGCTCTATATAAATTGAGAATTTTTTATAAATCTCTTTACTGACAACAAAAAATAAACTTTTTTATATAAAAAATTCGAAGGGAGGATGTTTTTTTGTCTTTAAATAAAAATATGGAGTACGACATATTATTTGACAGTAAAAAAAATACCTTGAAATAAAATTAGATTACCTTCACGCCAGTTCTATAAACCCAACAATGAAGGATCACATCTCAACTGCCACAGCATCTTCATCAGTATATATACCAGTATATCAGTATATATATACTGATGACAAAGTTGATCTGAACGCACGTCCTCTCCCTCTACAATAGAACGTGTTCCAAATTATAATACACCAATACCAGGGTGGGGAAAAAGGGGGGAGGAGCCGTCTAGAGGTAATGTCACCTGATTTTATTATGTTATTTAAGACGGTTTTTTGTTGTAACAAATTTACACTTACATGACATATATATCAATTTTCATGCTGAGTTTTATCCAAAATTAAATAATAATAATAATAAACTTTATTGAAAAAACACAATGCTTACATAATAGATTAACATATGACACAATTAATCTTCTTAAACTTTTACAATGTTTTCCATTGGTTGAGGTGCATTATGGTTTTAACAATTTTAAAATTTTGATTATCTTTGGACCCCACACTAGATGACCTGTATGTATTGTGGAGCCCGAAAATGACATTTTTAATCTTTATACTTCTATTTTTTCATTAAATCATATGACCTCGTCTTTAAGAAATACTCTACAAATTATAATCTTGGCTATATTGTATAATGCATGCTCAGTGAATGCAGTCATGATGATCTTCATCTCAGCACTCGTCTTAAGATATATCCTGAGAAATACGAGTCATGTATAACCGCTTTTATAAGCTGAAGAAAAATACGTAAGATATATCAAAATGTGAATTTTATTAAACCTAATACATTCGCTCACTACTGACAGATGACTCGTATAATGTTAAGGACATTTAAAATTGAATTTTTAAACTGAATTATAATATTATTTTAGATGAAACGGAAATATTATGTTGCTGGTAATAACTATGTTGTCTTTTAAGGAAATTACGACCGGTTTCCCTACACTCAAAGGGTATCTAGACTGACTTCAAGTAATATATAGTATAACTAATATTATAAGGATGAGTACTTTACAATAGATATAAATAACATATAAAGTAAAATTATTTAAGTATGTTATAAAATTTATTACAATACAAATTCGTATTAAATTTTTGATTTGTATCTGTTTTTTTTTGGTATTGTCATCATTGTTTGTTAAAGGTAAAATGCTTAGCTTATATTATACAAAAATTAATATTTATATAAATGATACTAATATTATTCGGATTACTACGCGTATTTTATAAAAACTACATACTCCCGACGCGACGTTTCAGGTACTTTTCAGAAACCGTGATCACGGAGACGAGATACTCGCGAAAGTCTTAGATCTTATTAAATACGCATACCACTTTTTCACTATTTATTAAGTTTTTATAGGATGGCAAAAATAATATTGGTAATATGTATTATCTCCATATATATATATATTTCTTCCTAAATATCCTCAGTATAAATTAATAATTTTGAACAGTTTAGTTACTTATTATATTAAAATTATATAATTCAATTACAGTCCGCTTTGATTTGAACTTTACCAACTTTAAACTCGGAGGAGTTAAGATGTTTTATAATTGAATTTATCAAATTATTGCTATGTTTTATATACTTTAATAGATTATTCCTGATTTTAGGTAATGTATATAAAATTGAAGTTACATGTAATTTTTAATGTCATTTCTTCATAGTATTTGAGAGTTTTTCAAGTTAGTTCCAGTGTATAACCCGACTGTAAAGACTTATTTTATCATTATACAAATATTTTTAATAACAGTATATTTGAATGAACGTTGATTTTTAAAGGCTCTTTATTCAGAGATATGTTGTCTTGTTGTTTATATATTATTGTATCGGTCATAAGAGAACTATCTTATCTATCAAACACTTGAAATACGAGTAATATGTTTTGTTCAAATTAATCCAGTTAATTTCCATTTTAAGTTTTTCGGTTGTTTGTGACCTGAAAATAAACTTTACCGCAATATTTTAATGGAATAAATTGGCAAATCTTTGAAAAAACAAAGAATCTACATTAAATATAGTGCAGGAAAAGCATATAAATTATGCGATTAATTGCTCTTAGCCTGGTTTTAAACGTTCGTTCTTGCTGCAAAAGAAAAGTAAACTGAGTGTGGTGTTTTTTTTTTAAGGAGCGATGTATTTTTTCAAAGTTTTGTATCTATGGGTAGGATTATAATTTTTTAAGTAAATATTTGACTTCATTGACGATGATTTTTTTTTTAATTTTAAAAATGTTATATTTTGTACCATTTTTTTCTTTATATATGTTCTTGAAGTGATCTTTGCTGTTCAGTCGAATGTCGTGGTAACACTCAGTGAACACATTCAAAAGAATTTCTTATAAATCTAATGTTAAACGTCATAATCATATGAGAGGTGCGGCGCATTGCGCCCACCTGTCGCCGCGCGTGCGTCCCGCGTGACGTCACACGAACACACCCGACGACACCCGAAGACGCACGAGCGGATTGATCCACGGAGACTCTGCACCGCTAATCAAATGAGTCAATCGCTGGCAGATACCTCGACTTCTACCCCTAGTGTGACAGAAAGCATACTCCTGAAACATTCCTCCGTACTTATAAAAGCTTCTCGCGCGAAGGCCGTCTCGTTATCCAGTTAGTCGAAGATAAATATTCCATCAATCGGTGGTGCGTGAGGACGCAGGCGCGGCGCTCGCAGGCCCAGTCCCGCTCCGGTCGCGCTGCCCGCCGCACGTCTCTCAGCGGGCTCGCTCCGGCGGCGACTCGCCCGCTGCCTCTGGACACTCTCAGTACTAACACCTCGCGCCCCCTGACCACCGCTCGCGAGGACCGACGGAGCCCGCGATTCGTTCCCTCGCCGCGTCCTATCCACGTGCCCGTCTCGTTGCGTAAGTCGCGGAATATAAAACTAACCAAATCTCCTTTGAAGAATAACATACACGATCGGTCTCTTCATTCTGTTTACCGTCGTCGTGGTGTCATCGCGTGTCTAAACAGCCTCGTCTCAATACTGTAATTCTGTAAGGAGTTGGATGCTCGACGTTTATGAACGGTTTAATTTTAATAGGTTAATTCGCGGATTGCGGGCGCGGTCTTTTTAACCTTACGATACAGAGTGCTAGTTGACCTTAAAAAGCGCGCCGCCGACACCTGATTTGTTTGCGGCTAGCAATGGTTACCGCTTTTATCATGAGACGCTCCTTACTGTTAGCTGTTTACAAAACAAGCTTTTGATATCAATTTTTGAAAAATTATTATGTTTCTTAATAATGTATGAAATAAAGTCTTATAATGTTTCATTTATGGTACACGTAATCCATTCCCATTTAAACAGCAAAGGATATTTTTCTTTTCTTCAATTATATATTTAAGTCCACTTTGTTTTTAATCGACTCTAACGACTTCTTACTATAATTAACGCCCCGTCGCGCGCTCACAGAATTAGAAATTGAGAAAAAATATTTTGTTTACCTACTGCATTTACCCTAGTCCTTATGTATTACATTTTTATGTTGACTTTGTAGTATTCTCTTCTTTTTAAATATCACATATAATAGTATTTTATACTACGAATAAACTATTGAAATATTTTATTGAATCAATATTTCTATGTCATTTTTGGTATCAAGTAACTTACGCTCAATATTCTAAAAATATATCTGAACACTAATTTAGGAGAACCAATTTTTATTTCCTCTTGATTGTTGTTTGATTCCCTGTTTACTTGACATAATAGTAATAAGGTTAATTTTACATATGAAATTAAATATAAATATAAAATTAAAACCAAAATTCACATTCTCTTTTGTCGCTAAATTTCATAATATAATGTTTTTCTAAATGTAATTCTAATATGCAGTACATTATTAATTCGCTTCAAAACAAATATATGTTCAATAAAAAAAATCTCATTGTGATGTATGTACATATATTGTATAAAGTTATATGAATAAAAGGTAAAATTGAATCAAAAGTAATGTAAGAGAAAATAGTTTTAAAATATTTAGAAGTAATAACGATTATATTAAATATATAAAAATGTATTTTAAAAGTTTTTTTAGTATAATAAGACAATGATTTTTGATATAACTTCATTAGAATATGTAGGAAAGAACGTTTTCTTAAAACATTTGTTAAAAGCTTGGTACAAATTTTAAGTCATTGAAATATCGTAATAATATTTTCATTGTGTGTATATGTTTCTATAGTAGTTATATATTATTCAAGTATATGATCTAGAAAACTTGCCGTCGGCAAATCATGGTTTCCTTAAACTGTAATAATAAATACGTAAAATATGAAAACTAATAGTAAATATAAAGTATATAAATATATTTTTTATACATAGTCTTATAAAATAATTCTTGAATCGTTAATATGAATGGCCAAAAGTGTCATGGAGCGAGTGGCAATAGTTTAAGCGGTATGTGCAAAAGTCACGAAACTAGAGCTTGGTTTCGAGTGGGGAGAGCCTGAAAAATTATGTACCTTCATTTGATGTATTTCCATGAAACCCAAGTCACTTTATGCTTCCTTTTCTCTCATATATCATATTTTTTTACTTCTCTAATACACTTTGTACAAACACGACATTGTATATTAAAACTTACGTTCGCGATCTATAGAAGAAATTAAAATTTAAAAATTTTGATTCCCGCTTATGCTATGAGTATTTATTTTCGGGAAAAACCGTTTAGGTTAAACCCAAGACAGGTTGAAATGTTGTTGTATTCTAAGACAGTTTGTCGGTAAGGTGACACGACACCGATAAACTTCGTGCGTGTTACAAGTTCCTTATAGAAAACAAATTGAAAAAAAAAATACACCACTGAAGGGTTAATACCCATTAAATTCTCGAGGGTATATTGTCGAAGTTTTTAATTTGATGGGCAAAAATGATTAACATTGAGTTTGGGGGTTAAATTTAAAAAGCTTTCCTCGTACAGAATTCATGTACATAAACTTCTATTCACTTACTTATATATATTGAGTTATTTAGTAATAATAATTAAATTCTGATATTTAAATTAACAATACGAAAAGGATATTAGATGTTTGGTATATGTTAAATAACATCCCACAAGAGACGTCTCGAGAAATAATACGAAATTACATATCAGAATATAAACGTAAATAAAATTATCTTGAGAGCAGACATCAGGGTTGGGAGGAGTTGTTAAACGTTTGCATGAATTTTACCAATAATATAATATAAAGACGTGCCATATTTGGAAATTTTGATTTAAATTTTGCTACATTCAAATGATTTTTATTTGGGAATGTTAATAAGAATAGCACATGGATTAGTTCTATACAAAAAAAAAAATGTCTCTTCTTTCCCATCTTACGGTTAATGACGTAGCATATTTTTTCTAATCATGTATGTATTTTTATATTGTTATTTCTTGCAACCAATATTCTCCCATCGGTATTATCTCCCAGAGAGTTATTATACTGAAAATAAAAGATAAAGGAACCAATATTCAAATTGTATCTTAAAAGGTAACCAAGTAACAAAGGTCCAATATTGGATTACAACCTACATGGGATGGGATGAGCATTGTACTGAATTGCAAGCAAACAAGTACATACCAAAAGGGTTTCCATTTGTTATACAATTGATTCTGTTTCCTCAATTTGTATTTAACATGCACTTTACGTCGTTTCTATGCGTCAGTATGAGTGGACGATCACAGTTTAGACAATGCTTTGAGAGAGATGATAATCGAGAACAGAAAAAATTAGAGACCTAAAAAGAAAAATTTAAGATTTTTTTTGTAAATATTCGTAAAACGACAAGAAAAATTCCTTTTTTTTTTTGTTCTTGTCTCTCCAGTTTTACCTGAACAATGCTCTGTTGTATTGTATATTTCGAGGTTTTTTTTGATAAATCATATTAATTTTCATTAATAACAAAAAATATAGAATTGTCGTGATAGATATCTTCAGTTTTATGTGAATAACTTATTCCCATATTGTCTGGCACGTTTCTTTTAAATAATTATTTTTAATACTTATACATTTTTTCGCAATTTTGTTGATATTTAAACTTTCAGCTAATATATAAAAATATTATATGGATATAAAAAAATGGTTTTAGTTAAACTAAGGTATATATTTTTTTTAGATACAAATGGTTTATAGTTAAATAAAAAATAATAACTAAAAACTAATGCTGTGATCATTTATACTTTAAATCATTATATAGAAGTATTTCGAAGTCAGGAACGTGGATTCTGTTCAGGTTTTTATGGTCTGTTACTTGTCCCGGCTTACTTGTGGTCAAAATAGATCTGCTTTCTGTAGGACTGCTACACCACTTAATATTATATGCGTATATTTTATATAAATAAACATACTTCTCTTCCATCTTACAGTGTAGGAATAATTATATTTGATCACCTATTAAGAATATATGAGTCATTTACTTAACAATTAAAATTTACAGTTTTAGTCAAATTTTATATGTAAAACCAATAAACATATAAAAAGTCTATATAAATAAACCAATCGTCATACATGTTAAAGGGGATGCTGTCTCTTATCGTACCTAAATATTAACATACAAGACCTCCATCTGCTGAAGTTACAAGGTCCCGATGTTTTATTATGTATGACATGAAACTATAAGGACGTCTCCGTGGGAATTTTATAACCCGAACGAAATGAGAAAAGGTCATTTTACTACTCTCCAATATATGTAGTACGTAGTGTAGGAATCGTCTTATAAAATAGACGTTCTCCGACCAACAATAGTTTTATGTTGAACACAATATGTTCTGTACCGTGCCGCGTCAACTCCTCGTTAACCTGTATATGTGAAATGAATTATTGTTGGATGATAACGTCGGATCCCTTTTTATCGTTCTGTTATCAAAAGCTCCGAATCCCCATTGTCCGGACTACTTCCAATCTACCGTCTGTCAGAGGCGCCCAATTCTTAAAAGACATAGCCGAGAAATTGTAATTTGTTATGTCTAATGTGAATTGTTTTTCTTTCTAGGAATATAATAAAATAGTATGGAAACAGCTTTAGTATAGTGAGATCTAAGACTTTCGCTAGTTTTGTTCATTTACATGAAACTAATAAAATATAATCACGGTTGCTGAAAAGTAGCCGAAACATAAAATAAACCTCGCGTAGTATAGACGAAAATATTAGTTTTATTTAAAAGTTTTTGGTTATTTTTTATTTATTGATACCTTATAATATGAAGTCTATTGAATTAAGAATTTCCTTTGTAGCTTTCTGGTATAAATCGCGTCGCTGGTTCCATTGGCTGACACTGGCTTAGTGTGCCAGCCTGATCCTAGTTTCCACTCCATAGAGCAATTGACTCGCTGCAGATAAATTGGCTTCTCTTTCTTGGCAGACCTAATGTGTTTAAGCCTTTAACTTTTCCTATTAAAGAACTTTTGTTTGCAATTTTTTCCTTATATTTGTAGCTAAATACGATGAAATATAAATCACAAATTTTTTCATACATCGATACTAATGAATATCAACCCCTTGTCTTTCCTGTATCGGAGTTTCCGTTTCATTTGTCAGCTTTGGACCGAGCTTGTTTGCAGTCGTGTAGAGAGCGGTACAATTTTTCTCTTTCCATCCAATAATACAACGTTCGAAGATTTTTTAATATAGCAACGTGAAATTCATAACGTCACGCCGTTTTTTTTTTGTTTTCACTAAACGAGTAAAGTCCACAGCCGTTGGAATTGCAATTACGGAAACAATATATATGGAACAAACGTAATTTATAACATTAATTGAATTCTGAGCGCACTTTTATTCTCATACGAGTATATAGAGGCGTACGTCAGTTTACCATTATAAAGCTGTCAATCGATTTGTTTACAGTGACTTGATTTATATGTGAACTGCATTGTTATCGCTACAACGTTACTGTGCAGGTTGTGTACGGAATACAGACTTTATGAAGTGTCATGTGATGGATAAAAATATTGTATGACTGATGGAGATTAAGTTTATTAGAAATATCAGATGATAGTTGTAAGATAATTGTCGAATATTTTCTCAATGAATCCTAGTATTTATATTTCCAAAAGCGCCTTGCCGACTTCGTTGATATTTGATTTTATATACATATATTGATTTGCCATAAAATAATAACTAGAGTCGTCTTCTAAATTCTAAATAGGTCTAACACCATATCAATTTTAATTCTGTCTCCTAAACTGCTATGGCAATTATTTTTCAGAAAATAAACCCGCTTTTGTTCTCGTATACAATAATACCTTTAAAGAAATAAAACACTTGAAATACAAAAAAATATTTAACATTTTGTACTAATAAATGCATATGGATTTTTTTAACATATAACAAATTATTAAGTTAAACATTTTAAGTGAATTTTTTCATAAAACCTAACAGCAGTATTTTTATAATTTTCTTTTGATGCAAAATCATTCTTCAGGGTCCAGATTATGATAAGTAGGTTTTATCTTCTTAAGTCAGAAGATTTCTCATAAGATTCATAAATTTTTTCAAAAGTGATATCCGAATACAGATAAAAATCCCTAATTCTCCCTTCTCGTCTGGAAAATTTAAACATTAAAGATGTAATTCCCTCAAAAGGTATATCTCTATATAATATACGTATATTATATACATGGTTATATTACTTTGTATCCCATAAGATAGTATTACGCCATCTTTTACTGAAAGTATCTGTAAAGGCTGCTTAATGTAATTTATGTCGAACATTTAAGGGTTATTTTTATTGGCAAGAGGTTATTAAAGATACTGACATTCTACGTCGTTTATTCGGTACAAATATAATTATTTGTTTACTACTAATATCTTCTTAAGAATTCATTTTCTTTAATATCAAATATCAAAGGTTTTAATAAGAATTCTTTTATATATTTGCGACTCTCAAGGGGTCATGACTTATTATACCACTAATTCTAGTATTTGTTGATACCCCAGACAATTGTATTATCTGCATCGTCTCTGGTTACGGTTTTGGTCGATATTATCAGTTCAATGAGATACGAAATGAAACTCCAATGGTCACGAATTGTATTGTTTGTGATACTGATTAATTTCAAATGGACATCTCTATAGTTTATTGCTATGAAATGTGTGCTGTTGAATTCACTCTGTAATTATACATGAATTATATCATCAATTGTTTTAATAGAAATGAATTTAATATATTAAATTACTGATATATTTTTATTCCAAACTAGACTTTATATAGGTTTTGATATTTATTGAAAAATATTGTTTTTGTCCTAAAAGATGTCCATTTTCTTTTTTTTTTTGTACGGTATATTATTTTAATACAACCAACAAGATACGATAAAAAGTTATTACGCGGCTTAAGAGGAGCATTCTTTCTGTAATGTAACGGCACCACAACAGAAACTTCAGTTCTAAGACGCCAAAGTTTCCCCGTTTGGAAGTTACGGTCAGGCAATCAATAAAAAACCAACTGATTGTATTGTCTGCCACGCCTTTTATAAACAAAAGTAAACATTTTAAATAGCACAATTAACTGCAATAAAGTCTTTTGAGCAATCTTCAAAAAAACCCAACCGGTTAAATAGTTCGGCATGTAAATTTCTCTTTAAACACCGTTTAATATTAAAATTCCGACGTCGGTTTATAAAATGGACAAAATGTTTACCCAAATAGAATTCTTTTATCTATATTAATGAGAAAGTTTGCGGCCACAAAGCCCCATGCCGGCCGTCTCGGTACAACGTCAAAGGAGATTAGGTTCGTTTACCCAGTTGGTCTCTCCCCGCCCTAACGGCCGTTACGTCCCGCAGTCAACTAAGTCTTCCTATATATGGCCAGCGGTCAGTACTAAAGAGTGAAAATAGTGCTAAATAGTATAATAAAAATGGCCTGGGGATATTGGTCTGCGTCGTCCGTGATGCCGGATCGCGGGCGGAGTCCGCGTCGTGCTGGCACCTCGGTGGTACACGCGCATCCGAACCCACCGACTGCGAGGGAAGTGATGGAAACACACGACGAGAGCATCATCCACACCGCCTCCACGTCCAGAGATAGCCGCGACCACTCAGCCTCACCACACTCCTCCTCCAACGGCGGCCACTCCCATCATCACGAGGTGCGGCACGCGGTACCCGCCAGTGCACTATTTGGAGAAAGTTACGGAGAACTGTCTAGAAGACCGTCTCTGGATTTAGGTTCGGTACGGAGTGCTTTAGCCTCGTGTTCGGGCGGAGGGACGCTTAGTGCCGGGTCGACGTTGACGCGCGGTGGTACCCTCGCTGATTACTTGCCACCGACGCCGTGCCCTCACCACCATCGGGTTTATGTCGACCATCACAAACACTACGAACAGCCGATCCAACCCGTGCATGTGGGTGTACCCCATCACTCACACTCACACGCATCCAGTAGACATCACACAGACGACGAAGATGACTTGGAACCAGCGTACGCCACAGGTATGTCGATTAATTTGTATCTCTGTGAAACTTCAACATACTCTCGATTTGTCCCAAAAGTGGGAGCATGTGGAATGTAATTAGACCTAACAAAGATATAAATTCGGCTCATTGTCAAAGTTTCTGCCGCTCGTCTAACCTTGATGAGATTCGGTCGTTAGTTTGCTAGCATCTACGCTACATTAGGCGGCAAATGAAAATGCCACGATGAATGCCCGAGTGAAAGTAGGCCACGGGCCACAAAACACATTAACAAGGAAGACCAAAGTTTAATTAACACGATACTTGGGAATTGGCCGTCAACTTTCTGACGCTGCCCGAAGTTTAGTGATTGTGAACGCGGATATTAAATGTTACTAAATAATATAAATTATAAATTTTCATTAACAATTTATCTGCCGCTGATTCATTGTTGAAAGTTGCCAACTTCAATGATAATAATTAATTTAAAACATGCTGCGTCGTAGCTTGTGTACGTTAAGTGAGATTTAGTTCAACCTGAGTTAACGTAGCTGAATGGGCAAGACACTGAGCACGAAGGAGTCTCGAGACCTCATTATGTCGTTCCATTTATACGACACAATGACATCACAGTTTGTCCCATCAGAATTTCTCATCGCCTTTGTATCTTATCATGTTTATCGTCCAATAATTCTATAATATTACTGTAAATTACACACATTTCAGTACCTGTATGAAAGGAGAACGAATTGTTCCGACCTATTCGTCTCTTGTAAGTGCTGCGTAAATATATTTTTTTGTAAATTTTATTTAATGTTATAGTCTAAGGGAAATAAATGTAAATCCGACGTTACGGATAAATAAAGCACATTTAATGAATTCCCGAAAGTATGGTAATGTCTATTTTTATTTTCTCCGAGTTTTCTATTAGGTACAGGGAAAGGGTTAAAGAGCAATTTACGAAAATACAATAACATTCGTCTAAACTTATCGTTATGTAGAATGATAGTTATTTATTTTGCAATACAATCTGTTTATTTTATGAAAGATGAAAAAATAAAACATATTGGTCCTTGCTTATGTCAAATAAAACGTAAATTAATTTTCATGTCACTCTAAGAATCCTCTTTCTTTCATACATGAAAGGCACTTTTCGTGATATTAAAAATATATACAAATTAAACGTTTTTTTTTTTTAATAAATATATATGTCAAGAAGAAAAAACTCATCATACGCTATCAAGTCATTTATTATTGAAGAACCTTCAATCCTGTTCTACTTGATTTTCCCCGATCATGTACATATATCATGAAATTTTGTTATGTAGAATAATTGCCTTTTCATCACCATCGAATGTGACAAGACGTAACGATGGAACTGTCAATCTTAGTACGGGATTCGTTTTCCGCATGATTGCCGTTCTGTACCTTGAGATACGATATCTACTACCATAACATGAATATATAATGTTATCTTGATGAAAATGTTATATTTATTAGAAAATACTATATTGTTATGTAGTGGGAAATTTCAATTTAATTTAATGTGTTTTATTACAGCTATATATAGTTACCTTGACTGATATTAGTTGTTCAATTTATGGTAATCGCTCGTAAAAATTTATGTTATACGTATCATTAATTAAAACAGTACATTTCTCGTTATTAAGCTTTGACCAGTATTTTTTTGATAAAGTATCGAATATGATTCTTAAATGGTTTTTCGTCATTTTTATTATACTTTTTTTTAATAGTTAAATTGTTCTTATATTTAATTATAATTTTTTTTTATATAAAAGTAAATTGATATTCCAAGGTCCTGTTTAACGTTACAGATCCTTATCCAACTATTCTTACAAGTAACCCCTTGTAAACTTGTGTTGCCATTATTTATTGTGCGTCACGTCAAGATATTAATTTAGCTTTGGTTGGTAATATTAAATATGAAACATTATCCAAATTTCATACTTATAGAATAATTTGTCTATGCCTTTATATTATATGGATTTTAATATATATTCCAAAGACACTGTCATTTATTACCTCAATTTCGTCCTTCTGTTGTTATTGCGAGACGATTTTTTAGTGACACCGAAAAATCGTTATTGTTCAAAGCAAAAACATTTCGGATACCCATTTGCTATATATATTGTTAAAGTCAACGAGAAAATATATTCCATTGAGACCTTGGCGGCGTTTTGAGAGGATATTTATCATTCATTCAAAATATCGCTTAGAAAATGGGTCATTCGTTGGAATAATAGACTTAAAGTACATGATATGTATTGTGGGTCTAAATTTATTTATAATTGAATCTACGGACATTCCGTAAAGTTCCAGTTGTAAAGGTGACATTTGATGAATCTTTTCAAGTTTATGTGTCATTAATTTTATTTATGTGTAAATAATTCGTTAATCTAACAGAAATCGCTATTAAAATTTTCTTTCCTTTTCATTAAAGATAGTTTAAATCTGTCGATGAAAACTAATACTTTTATGTAACTTTTATGAAATTTAATACTATACAAGTATATACTGACGTAGTATAAAGAAGTTGTTATGAACTACACCGGCGCAGGCAGACAGAGAGATAAACTCTTGAAACTCATAACACGAGTGTTGATTTCTTTCAACGCGAGTTAAAAAAAAGTGTAGTTTACACAGCCTACGGGGCTATAAAAGTTTAAACGTGTTCCAAAGTGGGTTTGTATTTTACACGAAGTAGGTCGATGTAAGACCCGCGGCGGTTAGCGCCTACAATGTTACCTTACAATGCACCTTGCAACTATTTTAAAGTTACTTTAGTATGAGATTGTCTCGCAAAATAATAGCATATTATAATGCTAATTATAAAGTTTGTGTCTGAGGAAATCATATATATTATATATCTATATTTATATATAAAATCGACATATTTGGTTTCTTTCTATTTTTTTGTCCGCGGTAACGTGCAACAACTCTCCAGCCCGTGATCACCTTTTTTAAAATAATAAAATACGCGTAGTATAATCCGACAAATATTTTCATTTACAGCTGAAATTATTTTAATTTATCTTCGCTGAATTAGATTTTAATAGGGTTATCTTCACAAGACGTATAATGTTATGATCTACAAAGTATAATGTAACTAAGAAAATACCTATCAGAATACTTTCTGGTGATGTTGATTATAAACAGATTCGTTCCCAGTAACTTATTGGCTCAAAGGAGGGTTGTATTTACCGAAATATTCCAAGTTATGATTGTATGCCGTGTTGAAGTGCCATCCACAGACTCTTGAATATTTGAATGTTTAATTCACACAAAACAGAAAATTTAACAGAGCGAATCTAAAAAGCATCAATTCCGAACGATATTTGATAAGGGTTATCTACTGATTGTTCTATCTGACAAGTACATAAATAACGTGTGTCTATATAACTATTGCACGCTATCTCCTAAATTATGCAGCCGTGTTAGGGAGGATGATGTTGGTTTTGTGCCAAATGATACGCAGCTCCCTCCCTTCATTATTAACATTTTAATTTGTTCCGTTTCCATAACACTCAAAGTCACATTTAAGCACTTAAACTTTTATATAATTTATATGTAAAGCTGAACTAACTCCGACAATACACAAAGAAGTTCATAAAATATAAAATAATTAAACCATTCTATGTATATAAATATAACGAATTCTCAAAAGTCATTTCAAATTCCCAGCAACAAGTACACTTCAATTAGCTAATTTTGAACTTTATTACTTTCATAAAAAATCTAAAATCAATCGTTACCTATTGAAACAACATCGCACAGAAAAATAATCAAAGAAAAATGAACTCTTGCCATTCGGCGTTTCAGTTTAAAACTGAACGAACGAACCGAGCGGGGTCAATAGCTTTAACATTTATTCGCGGAAATAGAAATTACTCTTCCAAGTTGTTATTTTCATTACAAAGGGTTCTCATTTGATCGTGATTTTGAGATAACGAAAGAATTCATTCATTATATATCATTTATTGATATTCAGTCGAAACTACATAAGTTTTGATAGAAACAGATGACGCAGGAAATAAACTATATGATATCACATTTTTTTAAAAATATTTATCCGTTTTCGTGGCTAAAATTGGCCTCAGATTCAACGATATTAAACCGGACACGCACTTTGTTATGTATAGAGGATGACCTATTTGCATTTATAGAATAGAAGCATTATTAAGGTCAAACTGGAATCGCTCCAAATAAAATTGGAAAGCATTCAGCGAATATCGTAACATCGAGTAACCTAATTACTTCTGGGAAGACGCTCCGATGCTCAGTTATAAAGATGCAAACAAATGAATTGTAATGAATACTTGTACTTCAACTCTTAAACGAGATCGTTTAAGAAAACTTTGTAATTAAATGTTTAAAGTTTCAACATAGCTCTCTAATTATACATAATTCGCACTCCAATGTACTGTATTTTCTTTTATGTTATAGAGTTGAATGTATAAGTATTACTGGTTGCGTCTGTTAATGGATGATCGCGTCTGAATCAATACAATGTTCATCCCTGGTCCACGTTGTAAAGTATCTCTTAGTTTTCATTACGATGCTACGTGACAGGACTTGAGTTAACTCGGTACCATTTCTCTATATATATATCTTAGAATTGTACCGTCGCATAGCGTGATAAAAGACTAACGGAAAGCACTTATAGATTTAAAGGTATTTGTGATTGTAAATTGAGTTTCGAGATATGTAAGAATGTCATTTAATTAAAAGACTTGTTTAGGTTTTTTATAAAATCAATATCAAAATATTCATGTTTACCCAGAACTTGTGAAAAGTATAAAACTTTCAGGGTAGAACTTTATGAAAAAAATAAAAAAAATATAAGAAATATATTTTCTCATTTGGTTATGAAAACGTACATGTTGAAAATAAGTTTCTCTTACAGATTTTTTTTTCACTTATATGAAATTATCAATTAGTGGTTCGTTATAACAATATAAGTTAAAATATTTATTCGTATGTTTTATTTTAACTAGAAATTTTTAATTCAGAAAGTTAATTTAAATTTCAGGGTAAGTTTATTGTAGATTTTTAAATATTCAGTGTGGAAATCTAACCGCGCTGTTACAATGTGGACACA